AGCACTCCCTGCGCCTCGGCTTCCTCCTCCGACGAATCCGACCCGCTCTCCTCCCCGTCTTCCTCCTCCTCCTCCTCCTCCTCCTCCTCCTCACTACTCGTGCCTTCAGGGCTGTGTCCTACCCACACCCCTGCCTGCTGCCCCTCGCTCTCCCGAGGAGCCTTCCCTCTCTCTTCCTCCTCGGCACTGAGGGGCTCAAGGGCTCGGCTCAGGTTCTTGAGCACCAAGTTAGACCAAAGCGTGCGGGAGGGTAGTACCAGCCCTGTCATTGGAGAGGTGCGATGACCTCGCGCAAACCAGGCCTCTATCGACTCTCGTTCATAGCTGTAGCCGTCGCATGTGAGCACAGGGTCTCTGGGGACCGGGAGTCGAAAGGGGAAGGAAAGTGGGAGAAAGGCACGGGAATCGCTTGAAAAGGATGGAAAGAAGCGTCTGTACAACATCAACAAGAAAGAGTATGAAAGGAGCTGTCCGCGCGCATAGAGAGATACGTTGCATCTCTTTGTCTCGTATACAAGCCACAAGGAAAATCGAGTTGGGAATGAATGGTTCAGAAAGCACAAAGATGATGTCATGTCCGCTGTATTGACTAGTAAAAGATTGAAGAAGAGGACGCCGCTGCAGGTGCGATCCTTCTTTACCCCCTTTGTAAAGAAGTGCAAAAGCAAAGGCGATAGATGACCTTGTGTTTCTCACCTCATGATGCAACGGGAAATTGGACAGAGAAGGAGATCAAAGACTGCTTCGGACACTGTCGTCACTTGTGCATTGGTTGTCGATGTTGTAGTTGCAGTCGAGTCGTGGGCTTGCATTTGCTTGGATTCGCTTTATGTCGATATACAGAATGGGCCGAGGGGCGCGATGCCTAGGACTCAACGTAAAGCTGGTCATCGATAGCCCAAAGACAAAGCATCGGAATGTAATGAGAGGTCATTGTAGAGGCTAACCACATCGATTTGTTGTCTTCAAGCAGGTTTGTTTTCACAATCAAGGCACGGTGGGAGAGCGTCTTTCGAACAACGTCGGCATGCGCCAGAGTGCCGCATTGCAATTTTGCTATAGAGAGCAATCTGGGATCTCTTGGTCGAAATGAGGCCAACACGCCGATGTTGGCGGGTTGAAAAGTATTCACAAAGGAAGATTTAACACTTTTATTATGCAATGCACTGCATCGGTCTCTGACATAGGGCTAAAGAACGAGAGATAGTGCTTTTGTGTCTGTTACTAACAGCAACGCGCGGGGTCCCCGGCGCAGGTCCGTTGACAGGCTGCGAAGGAGGGCAATCAACATCAAAATAGAGGGCCTACTCCTCCAGGCCTTTCATTAAAAGGGCGAAGAAAAAAAACACTTGAACAGACGATAATGCGTGATTCATACCAAAGCGTAGAAAACAACCATTGACATAGCCACTTCAAAATCACTACTAGTTGACTGTTACTATTGAAATGGTTGCATGTGCCATCGCCTCCTTTACTTGCGCGAGACCACGAGTCGATATTTTTCATCACCAATCCGACTGCCCTGAGAGGTCCTTAGTACGTTTTCCAAGTTGATGTACTTTTGGTATACGGT